CTCTCTGTAATCATTGGTAAGCCAATCGGATTATTCCAAACTCACTATAAAGGCTAAATACACTTGTCCTATTATGCAGTTTCCACAATTTTCATTGCACACTCATTGATTTTGCTCTCAGTTTTGCTGTCATTTATTGCACATCTAGAATCTTTGCTTGCGGGTTGACATGTTTTGCTTGTGAGTTTGAAAGTTTTGAACCCATGTACACTGAGGTTAATTTTGTGTCTATTATTCAAACAAGCATGAAGTTTTTGACCAAAATTAGGTACAATGCAATTAAAAAATAAAAGATTTCAAATAATAAAAAAAAACATTAAAATAAAAAAATTACACTGCAAAAAATTAACTATTGCCATTTTATGCAGTTACCACAAGATTAATTAATTGTGTGCTTATTAGTTCTGCTTTTGCTTTTGTTTCATTTTTTGCGGATCTAAAATCTTTGCTTGCGAGTTGAAAACTGCACCTCAGTGGGCGGGATCTTCTGAAAAACCATGTTCTGTTGGCCAATCTTGAATGCGGTCACAGGTTGGCCACGCCCATTACATTTTCTCGCGATTGGACCGGAGTCACCGGCAGTGTTGCCAACTTAGTGACTTTGTCACCAAAATATTTTATTATCATTGACATAAGTTTTTTTATTAAACCTGTTTTTATTTGAAATCTTTTCTTTTTTAATTACTACGTGATTAATTTTTCTTTACAACTAAATATTTTTGATTGAATAAAAAAAAGAAACAAATCTATTTCCATAACTAAGCCGAAGGAAAACGAATGAATAAAAAATGCAATAGTAAATGATGAACAATGATTAATAAATACTCTACAAGACTATTCATCCTTGGTCGACATTACTAAATACATTAAAAAGTGGACCATTATTCTAAAGTGTTACCGGATTAACAATAATTAAAATTACATTTGATTGCCTGTTATTTGCATACTGACCTTTGGCCTCACACAGAAGCGTGCCGATGCTGTTCTGGTAGCAGACGCAAACTCTCCACTGGGACACCTGTGGGGACACGATCACATTCACTGCACATCCATCCTTTTTTCTTTTTCAAATATTTCCCAAACGATGTTTAACAGATGTAGGAATTTTTCACCATTTTTCCTATAATATTTTTTCTTCTGGAGAAAGTCTGATTAGTTTTGTTTTGGCTAGATTAAAAGCATTTTAAGGTCAATATTATTAGCTCCTCCAAGCTATATTTGTTTTTTGATTGTGAACAGACCACTGATATACAATGACTTGCCTAATTATAACTTTAACCTAATTAACCTAGTTTAGCCTTTAAATGTCACTTTAAGCAGATTACTAGAGTCTTGAAGAATATCTAGTCTAATATTATGTGCTGTCATTATGCCACAGAGAAAAGAAATCTGTTAATAGAAATGAGTTATTAAAACTATTATGATTAGGATGTGTTGGAATAATCTTCTCTCCCTTAAACAGAAATTGCAGGAAAAATATACAGGGGGGTTAATAATTCTGACTTCAGCTGTATAAAATAACAATAACAATAATAATAATAATAATAATAATAATAATAATAATAATAATAATAATAATAATAATAATAATAGACAGCCCTTGAGAGGCTTTTGCATCTGAACTCTTCATCTGTGAACAAGATAACACAGAGATGGACTTGCCTAACAGACACGCAACCTCAGGATCGGCGCCATTTTTGCTGGCGACCAGGTAAACCTCATGTGTATGCAGACGGGCAGGAGTGATGGCCAGGTGACGGCTGAGACGGTTCACAATCTGCACCAATGCAAAGTCCATCTCAAAGCTCCATTTTCTGCTGGCTTTTTGAGCATGTCGGGAATCAATGGATCTAGGCTTTTGCCTAGAAAAAGATGTATTAGACTGCCCCAAGTAACGAAAACTGTGTATCAAATGTCCTTTGTGCCGACTGCCATTAGAATTTCATTAATAATTGAGTTTTTAATGTGGTTTATGTGATGATATTGAATGTATTTGTGTTGCCTGTTTTTCTGTGATATATGTGATGTGAGCGCTGATGTGGTGAAGCCAAAGATCATTTTAAAACCTGCAAACCTGTCAAAGTGCAGGTCATATCCACAGGCCAGGATCGCCCGCCAAACACTGCGGATGTCCTGCTTGGCTCTGTCTAGAGTAAACTTGTGGAAAACTTCCAGCGTCAAAAACTTCTCTTCTGGCACTGTTGAGAAACATCGAGATAAAAGCAGATCATTCACACATTTGATCGAGCGCCTGCTTGAAGTTTTTGTAGGATGTGCGCACACCGACCCTATTTTCAATCACTTACTTTTAGACTCTAAATCGTTTTTCAAAATCAACTCTTATACATAATTCTTTAATAATTCTATGGAGACGGTGGATAACATTTTCTTAGCTATTTCTCTAGATAGTAGTATTCAGCTTAAAGCAACATTTAAAGGCTTAACTAGGTTAATTAGGTCAATTAGACAAGTCATTGTATAACGAACTTAAAATTCTGTAGCCAATCAAACAGCTAGCTAGCCGGCAGCTCTCACATTGTCGCCCACTGAAGCTAAGCAGGGCTGTGCTCGGTCAATACCTGGATGGGAGACCACATAGAAAAGCTAGGTTGCAGCTGGAAGTAATGTTAGTTTCTAAATGAGGTCCCGACTCTCTGTGGTTGTTAAAAATCCCAGGGGATTTTATAAAATGTTTGGGTTTCACCCTGACATCCTGGCCAAATTTGGCCTCCTAACCATTCCCATATTATAATTGGCTTAATCTTAATATTAATCTGTCTCCTCTCCACCAATCAGCTATTGCGCAATATGGCTGCCGTAAAATGCTATATAAATGAAAGGAAGTAAAATATATATTTATTATAGGGGGGCTAATATTATTGACCTATTTCCCAGTTAAATTAAGACAAATAAGATTTTATCAAGAGTGTTTTAAGCTATTTCCTAATCACTCATATATTGCCTGATTACAGTGGTATACAGTAACATGCTTTTATGACGAACTACCATATACAGTCAAGTCATTTCCACTTAACATGTCGGAAATCAATGCATGTGCACCTGTGGGGGGTAGTAGTACCAAATTTTTTGGTAGTAGTTTGGTAATACATGCTTCAGTAAACCAAATTTAAGAATGTATTTAAATAACATTTAATTTATTATTAAAATGCATACGTTTTCAGTGTTTTGAGGGATATTTAGTGACTTTTAGAGGTTACTGTAGGTCAAACTATACAAATTATGTGTCCATTTTTTTTTATTGGGCTACATGCAGATATAGACACCTACAGTATTTTACAAGAAAAGTGTTTTGTGAATACTTGAGATGGTATTGGTCCTCAAGAGCTGCTATTTTCAGACTGTTGAATGATATTTTCCTAGCATTGATTGGCACAATTATGCATTTACAAGGCTATGAACTGCTCAAATCTATATTTACATTATACTTTTTTATTATTAATATTAAGGACATAGATCAGAGAAAGCATTTTCTTACTATTAACGTGCTGACCCACCTCTCATACATCTTGTTTTAAAGTCCTTCAGAGGGGATCAAGCAATATTGGAGGGGGTCAAACCCTCCCCAAACCCCCTGTAATTTGCACATTGGTTATTCACACACTGCTGCCACACAACTGTTTAAATCACTTATAAAAGTGATTTTGCATAATAGGTCCCCTTTAAGACTGCATCACTTAAGGCCAATAGGTGCCAACAAGTCAATATCTACATCATACAATATACTTCAAATCATTTCCACTGAAACATGCATGTTTAACCACATTTCTTAAACAAATCACATATTTTAAGCCAGCGTTTAAGGCAGTGGTTCCCAAACTTTTCAGGCCACGACCCCCAAAATGACAATGCCAGTGACTCGTGACCCCCAATATACTCTGAGGTGGTTATAAATACAGAAACCTTGCATGCAATGGCGCACACACACCAATGGACCCAAGTCTATTCTTCTTTTAATTTTTTTAATGTATGAGAGCTGTAAATGGGCCACAGAGTTTAACCGGGTGTTATGAAATCTGCAGCATCTGACGCTATTGCTGTCTTTAATACAATGTAATTACCCTAGGGGTTGCAATCCAATAGAAGTAGTAACACTAAGCTACTATAGTAACTATATATGATATAAACGACTATTTTTTTCTCTTCAGTAGGTTATGGATAAAATATGGTAATACTTATGGTTTAATAAAAATAAATAGATTTTTGGAAATCAACAGGCGACCCCCCTTCATTGTCCCGCGACCCCTCGGGGGGTCCCGACCCCCACTTTGAGAACCATTGGTTTAAGGGACAGTTCACACAGAAATGAACATTTACTCATCATTCACTCACACACAAGTGGTCTCAAACCTTGAATTTCTTTCTTCTGTTGAACACAAAAGAAGATATTTTGAAGAATGTTGTAAAAGAAAAACAGCCAAACTTTATTTTGATGGTCAGTTTGTTGAATTTAAGTTACATTGCATCTACAGTACATGCCAACTAATTTTCATTAGACTGTTGGGTTGGGGTTAGGGTAAGTTGACATCCACTTGAAAAGTTTCTTATAGTCAGTTAAATGTCTGTTGAAGGAGCAGAATCAGCAGATATTAAGCAGACAGTCTACTAATACTCAAAATAAAGATGATCTAACCATCAAAATAAAGTGGTACAGAAAAAACCCACAATAGTAGGAACGAAAAATACTATGGAAGTCAACAGCTGCTTTTTTCCAACGTTCTTCCGAATATCTTCCTGTACAGACATTATTAGAACCCACTGTACATTATAATTAAAATCCTGATTTATAATTCTACATTTGATTGTTCTTTGATGCAGTCCTTCTCATACGGTCTGTAAATTATTGTCTAACACATCAATAGATGTGAAAAAAATCCTATCGTTTACTTCTGTGTCTGGAACAAAGTGCTATTATGCTTCTCTTGGATGGATATAAATTGCAAGGCTGAGCTTTACTGCTGAATGAGACACACACAAGACAGTTTATTCAATTCACATTTATTGCAAGTGTTTGGCCTGCTGGGGAAATCAAGGTCTTTCTGGAGCAGTGATTGGTCACTCTGGGGATGATGAGTGGAGATCGTGAGGCAGGCCTTCTCGTCTGGAAGAGAACAGAGTCAAGAAAATCAGTGTCGATGTCTAAATGAAGCTGAATTTGAGTATGAATTAACATGACCTCTGACCCACAGAGAATTCTATATATACATATGTGTGTGTGACATACAGCATGTTCCAGAAGTGTTACTAAGCTCAGTCAGATGTCATGTCACTTAAATGAGATGAAATTACCTTTTAGAATGTGTCCACACTAGCTCCTGCTCCTGAAGTAGGCATAAGCAGCACAGACACCTATGCCGACTCCGACCCAGGCTGCTGGACTGCTCACCGCAGCTTTCACAGCACTTTTCACATTGTTGGAGATCCTTCTTCCCCATGAAGACTCGCTGTTCGCTCTCTCCTCTGTTTTATCAGCGGTTTCTCTCTCTGTTTCTCTACTGGTCTTTCTCTCCTCTGTATCTCCAGCGGCCTCTCTCTCTGTTTCTCTACTGGTCTTTCTCTCCTCTGTATCTCCAGCGGCCTTTCTCTCTGTTTCTCCACTGGTCTTTCTCTCCTCTGTTTCTCCAGCTGTCTCTCTCTCCTCTGTTTGTCTTGGAGAGCTGCTGTCATTATCTGAGAGGACCTCAATTGTCTTGTCTGGGCCCCACATGATGATCAGAGGTTTATTCAGTAAATCAGTGAAGTTCAGAGCTTTTTGTGCTCGCACTGCATCACGTCGATGATGGAAAGTCACAAAGGCATAAGCAGGAGAGATGATGTTGTTTCTGCACACTTGCACAGTCGAGATGGACCCCAATGCACCAAACTTTTCAATAAGCTGTTGTTCGGTGACCATTGGGTGCAGATTGCTCACGAGCAGTGTCTTCAGCTCAATAAAGCGGCTCGTGGGGACCACAGGATCTGGTTGCTGGTCCCGTCCTGAATGCTCAAAAGTCACATAAATGTGTCTGCAATTAGTGTCTTCATCAAAAGAAAAATCCAAAGAGTGGATTTGGCTGAACTGTTTCATTGACTCAATCAGTTCTTGTTCGTCCACATCTGGGTCCAAAGTCAGAACAACCGATGACCACTCGTGATGAGGGTTGTCTGAAGACTGATTATAGTAAGTATCCATAGCGAACGAGTCCTTCACAATCACAGATTTGTCAATTCGTACAGTAACTGTGTGATTTACCAAGTCACCGTCCTGAATGCTGGCAAACCGAGATGAGCTGTTTTAACATAGAACTACTTTAGAACACATTCTATGACTGTCGTTGCTAAGCAACCATCAGCTGAGAGCGCGTGTGTGCGCACACAAACAGGATTCTAAATTGTTTATAAATGAATCTTAATCTGTTGACTATTAGATAAACTATTTATTACTATTGTTTTATCCTACAGATGATTGTTAATGTGCTGTTAATTATTATTTATTAGAAAAACCACCACTACTATGTCAATTGCTTTTATATGTCCTATTTAATGTAAGCATCACAAATGCTGTGGAGATACATATGGAACATTTGTCAAGCCAATAAAATAATCTGAAAACATTGACTTTCTCTGTGTGTGTGTTGGTATTTTTAAAGTTTTAACATATACATCTATTGAAAAATAACCAGTTTCTGTTGGTTTACAGAAGCTTTTAGCAGAAACCTTTGTCTCCTCAGCTGCTTCAGTTTATTTAATGAAGGATTGAGTGCGGAACAGTTTCTTATCTGAAAATATTCGGTCACAGAACTAAACATACCTGCAAGAGTGATTTATATTTGACTGAATAGAGTTGATAAAATAATAATATTCACGGGTGTAAAATTCCTAAATTCACCTCTCACACCATATCCCTTATTAAGCTTCTGTATATACTTACAAATAAAGTATGTATTTATGTATGTATGTATGTATGTATGTATGTGTGTGTGTGTGTGTGTGTGTGTGTGTGTGTGTGTGTGTGTGGCTAATAATTCTGACGTCAACTGTATATATATATATATATATATATATATATATATATATATATATATATATATACAGTTGACGTCAGAATTATTAGCCCCGAAAATTATTTCAACACTTCTAATCATAACAGATTTAATAACTCATTTCTAATAACTGATTTATTTTTTCTTTGCCATGACAGTAAATAATATTTGACTAGATATTCTTCAAGACACTTCTATACATTTAATGGCTTAACAAGATTAATTAGGTTAACTAGACAAATTAGGGTAATTAGGCAAGTTATTGTATAACGATGGTTTGTTCTGTAGACTATCGAAAAAAATATTGCTTAAAGGGGCTAATAATTTCGACCTTAAAACGTTTTTTAAAATTTTTTTAAAACTGCTTATATTTTAGCCTAAATACAACAGATAAGACTTTCTCCAGAAGAAAAAAAATTATCAGACATACTGTGAAAATGTCCTTGCTCTGTTAAACATTGTTTGGGAAATACTTAAAAAAAGAGAAAAAAAATTCAAAGCGGGGGCTAATAATTCTGACTTCAACTATATATACATATATATATAATTATTAATTAAAATTATATATAATTAATTTGTATACAGTTACATATGAATACATAATAATTTTTATGGGGTCATTATGTGTGACAACAATCATGTCTAATTTTTAGTCATAATTACATATTTTGATTAGCCTTGGCAGTGGGGTGTATATTTAGATATAATATATTATGCAGCATATTGAGAGACTGCCTGGAAATTATTATTGGACACAAACAGTTGAAGTCAGAATTATTAGCCATCTTTTATTTTTATTTTTTTTTAATATTTCCCAAACAATGTTTAACAGAGCAAGGACATTTTCACAGTATGTCTGATAATATTTGTTCTTCTGGAGAAAGTCTTATTTGTTTTTTTTTTGGCTAGAATAAAAGCTTTTTTTTAGTTATTTCAATCTTTTTTATTGGTCTTTTGCATGACAATAAAAATTAAATATTGAGAGGTAAACAGTAATGTATTGTCTATTATTAATCCCACCCCCTAACCTCTCGTTCATTAACTCAACAAAACAATAAATACATAAATATCAAAAAAAGAAAATTAAATACATTAGAACATGACATCAGAGTAACTGGATACAGATGGGATAAATAATAATAATTAAAATAATAATAATGCATTTAAATAAATACAAAAAATGATAATAATAAAATTTATTAAAACTTTCTGATAAAATGGTTAATTTTACAGGTTGCCAGCACCAGGGGTAATAGGCAGGCCTTTGATGTAGTCAAGAAAGGAATACCAAATCTTATAAAAGGAATCTAATGAGCCAGAGAGTGAGCAATGAGCATCTCAGCATTCCAAGTCTGATACAGTAAAAAATGTCCTGTATCCACTTGTCATGTGTAGGGGAAGAAGTGTGTTTCCATTTTAAAAGTATGGCACGTCTGGCTAGAATTGTGGTAAAGGCAAGAACCTTGCTGTCACGCACTGTCAAATCAGGTTCAAGGGACACACCAAAGAGGGCAAACAAAGGATCAAGTGAAAAGCAGTTTTTAATTTTCTAAAACACCATTTTAAGGTCAATATTATTAGCACTTTTAAGTCTTTTTTTTTTTGATAGTCTACAGAACAAACCATTATTATACAATGACCTGCCTAATTACCCTAACCTGCCTAGTTAACCTAATTAACCTAATTAAGCCTTTAAATGTCACATTAAGGGCCCTATCATACACCCGGCACAATGTGGCGCAAGGCGTGGCGCAATAGTCTTTTGCTACTTTCAGCTCGGTGCAAGGATCATTTTGAGGTGTTGCACCACACTGTTTAAATAGCAAATGCATTTGCGCTCAAATGTGCGCCCATAGGCATTCTGGTCTAAAAAAGCAGGCGTGTTTTGGCACGTTGCTATTTTGAGAAACTGTAAATAGTCTGTTCTATAGACCAGAACAAAGTCGGTCTATTGTCTGGCGCAAAGTGCGTCTGGCTTACACACTACACATAAGATGTAGAGCAATACGCAAATATCTTTACATATGAAAAAGATATAATATATTAAGGATATATATATAATAAGGATATATATAGGATATAAATATAAATTATTAAATATTACAAAACAATTAATTTCTAGCCAACATGAATTTAAAAACCACTGCCTTATTTTCTTCATCTCGGGAGGCTTTTTCAGTTCATTCAATTTGCTTTTGTATAATGTTATTATTATTAGCAGTATTATTTATTATATCCATATTTATATTTGTTTTATTAAAAACAAGCTTAGATTTGTCCACCTGTCAGGTTTTAGACCATATGGGGCATAGCAGATGTATTTGGAAATAACACAGTTTTTTGACCACACTTTGTCATTATTGTTTATTTATTCATTTGGTGGAAATTAGAACTAAATTCAGAAATAGTTTTGAAACAAATCTTTGCGCTTAACAAACGAAATTAATTATTTATAGGCTAATTGATGTCTGTGCGGTAAGGTTTCCCTATCCAAGAGAGCAAAAGTTAAAGTGAACTTACTTTACTTCAAAATGCGCTTATGGCGCGACGCAGCTGGCTTTTAAAGGTAATGGGAGATGAGACTCTGATTGGTTTATTCTCAAAACACACCTATAACTCATTAAGAAAATAAACACAACCCTTTTAGACCATGCGCCACGGCACAAAGCGGATTTTCCCGTCCTTAAATTAGCAAAAATGCGTTCTGACACGCCCTGAAATCGTTTGCGCCCTGCGTTTTGCATGAATTGAATTGAATTATAATAAATAATTCAATTCAATTCAATGATGAAAGCTGCAAAACAGTCATCAGTAAATACATAAAAAAATAATATACACCTCAAAAAAGAATAGACAAAAGAAAAATAAGTAAAATCTCACTTCTATCACTCTTTAAAAGTTTTGGTTTCAGTTTGTGTCAATTTAAATGTTCAGTCTGAGCTGATTTTCATTTTTCTGTGTTAGTGGAAAGGCAGGCGAGTCAGCCGATGCAATTTATGAGCAGGTTGAGCAGGATTCTTGCGATGACTACCGGCGCACTACCGCTGTTTATTATGAGCCGCAGTTTCAGTGTAAAATTAGTAAAGGCGAGCTTCTATGACGATGATATGTACAGTACTAGATTTGACCTTTAGCGGACATTTGACAGTGAATGCAACGCATCGAGATTCAGGGACCTTCTCCGAAAAGCACGTATACTCGATTGATCTCAGCTGGCGGATCAATATTCCCCACATCATGATCACTCTCATCTGCGCCTCAACTTAGGTGGAGTTTGCAAACCTGTGTGCTTTAAGTTTTCACTCTTCAGCCGTTTGCATTTCCCGTGGTCATAAAAGCTCCTTCCCTGTCATCTGACGAGTGATTGACAGCTAATATGAACCAATATAGCGGCAGGGAAGAGCGATTCAGCACGTTTTTTAGAAAAAAATCTAAACAGGTCGCACTACAACCATTTTATGCATTCGCACCAATGCTCCCAAATATATTATGAGACTAATTTTTGGGCGCATATGCGACCAAAATGGTCGCAATTTCGAGCCCTTCTTAATAACAAGCAAGTAATAGTGTCAATAGTGAGAATAAATATTTAAAATAAAGGGTTACCATAATTACTATAGTAAGTGTATGGACACACATTAAAATAAAGTGCTAGCTACAAAATAATATAGTAGTATAATTTAATACACATCTACGTATTCTATCAAGGTTTGTCAGTTTTTATTGATGTTAATGATTGCAAATAATGATCTTTGGCTCAACAAACAAAACAATTTAATAATGACAAATGACAGAATAGGAACACAATCACCCCAATTGCATAGAAATATATATAAACTAATCAATATACAGTTCATGCCTGCCATATACAGTTACCTGTAGGTTACCTGTTACCTGTAGGTTGCTGAGTTCATTATTTTGATTGCACTTGCAATTTAATACTTTCTTTTTCTCATTTACATTTTATTTTTATTTTTAACTTCAAAAGATCAAAATGGCAGAAAAACGTTTGCCTTTCTCTCTATTCATTCTGTTTGACGTTGTGTTATAATTGGTTCTGAGGCCTGCCAATAATTTTATTATCCATGCAGGGTTCTTGCACCATTTTAAAAGTAAAATTTAATGCTTTTTAAGACCTTTTTAAGACCTCAACAAATATAATTTAAGACACAAAAATTTTATAATTGCTTTGGAATAGGCTACTCATTTTAATGTTCTCGTTCGATTTAAATAAATTGTTCCTTGTCA